GACTAAAACTCATCTAAAACATGAATGTAAACCGTGGTACTTTGTCGCGGTTACATCTCGTTTACGCACCGCGCTTTTAACTATCTATCGATTTCGTGTAATCTGTTCCATTTTCGGGGAGAGAAATTTGTACGACTTCGGCGTTCACGGCGTAAGTCGCTCTCTCGTTCTTTGCAATTCGAACGGGCAGGAAGTAAAGAACGTCGCTTACTGCATTTCACGGTATTTTACATCGCGTACGGGAGTGTCCGATATTTCGCGCGATCGATGATTTTCGCGAGTTGTGTGGTGTTGTGCGAGTGCAACAAGGAAATCTGAGAGGAGGAGCAGGTCTGGGCGGCATCGGGCGACGGCAGAGAAATCGTAAGGTAAGTGTCTTACATTTTTGTTATTTGCTACTTGTGCAAAATAAAGCGTCTGTTCTGTGCTTTTATTTTATTTATTCAAATGATTCCAACGAGCATTCGAATAAGTGTTAGAGACAAAACCATACGTATGAAATTTTGTGAGTTCATATTTAAAAGGAAGACTTTCAGTATTCTATATAATTGTTTTAATAAATACCCATTTTTTTAAATATAAAATATAAAGTATGTTTAATACGATAGTTTCGATTTTGCATAATTAGTCTATAATAATCGGACACATTTTTGTATTGTTACAGTTTAACATATATAGTTAGCGATGTACAACTTTGCTGTTGCGACTCGTATCAGTGAGTGACATATTACTTTTTATTTTAAAGTAACGTTGTGTATATAATTACTTCTCTCTCTCTCTCTCTCTCTCTCTCTCTCTCTCTCTCTCTCTCTCTCCGCGTGTGTACAAATTCTTAAAAATACACAATGCTTGACCACAAACCGCGCGCGAAGCGCGCGTTCTGTCATGTCTAGTATTTCTAAGTTGTAAACCTTCATTTACTCTGAATCTAAAAGAGAAGTGAAGCACATCGCGCTTCGAGAAAATCAATCGGCATCGCGGAGAAGGGCCTTAACTGTTCGATATTAACGACATTCGCGCTGCATCTCTTTTTTAGTAAGGGACAAGCGCGCGCCATTTGCTCTCTCTAAAAATTCGCATGGTTTGACAGCTGCAAATAACACGACTGAAACATGTCGTATCGCACAAGCGAGACAGCCAATCAGCATCGCGGAAAAGCGGCAACAATACTTCGAGATATGCGACTAATCGACTTACATGCGTTTTTTAGAATAGAGAGAAGTGGAGAGAAGTAGATATAAAACAAGTGTCTTCCAGAATAAAAGTTGAAAAGCGAGAAATGTATTCGCGAAATACTTGCACGTGAGGATAAGTCAGCGACCCGCTTTACCTTCGCAGTATAAAAAGACCTAACAGACATACCGTACAGATGTCACCACAGAACTGGTTGAAATTCCGATTCATTGCAGCTATCCCGAATCTACAATCGCGGTCCATACAAGTTAAAGAATTCAAATCTAAATAAATGATTAGTTAATTAAAGTCTCTCGATTGAAATTAAGGAGTGGAACAAGGAAAAGTAGGCTTTGGTGGTCAAGTGCGGTCAGTTAATGGTGCGTGAGTTAATCTTGTGTAACTGATTTAACTGATAATTTGTAATCTACGAGTTTTCACGCGTAGTGGCGAGTATGGCGTAGAGAAATGTGCGCTGCTTAGTAAACAAATGAACGAAAAGATCTGAGTTTAAATTCACGGACACCACTGATTTTTTTGGAATTTCCCGAAGGGAAGTGGTAACCACTGAGAGTATCCTACCACACATATCCTTTTAGGGATACCGTCCTCCAGATTGGAGGTTTCCTTCGGCAAGGTTTATCAACCTACCAAAGATGAAGTAAAAACCAAATGCTCAAAGCACACTGATAAAAAAATATCTTCATTCAAAAAATATTACTTTACTTAAGAAAATTATTCATTAGGTGGCTCCTAATAGCTTAACTTAAATTTACACAACAATAAACAAATTAAAACATGCATTGCTTTAATTTAAGCAT